AACAAAAGTGTTAGGATGGAGGCCGGAAGCTAGGCTCCGAGTCAGAGAGCCCGTAGTCAGTCACCCTTCTCTGCATTAAGTGTAAACCTAAAGGGAGTTTATGTCGGTCCTGGCACTCAGACCTCCAATGGCCTCCATTTGTCTTCAGGACAAAATCCCGACTCCTCCCTGTGGCTGCTCAGCCCTGTGTCATCAGGGCCCTGGCAGTGTCCCCAGCCTCATCCTGGGAGCTTTTCTCATGGTTCACTGTGCCCCAGTCATACTCACCTTTTCTCTGTTTCCAAACACCAACACCTTTTCTGTGTCAGATCTTAGTTCCTGTTCTTACCTTTGGCCTTGAAGTCACCATGGCTCAGGCCCCTTGTGCTCCTTCAGGTCTAGGCTCAGGGAGGTCTCCCCATCCCCTGCTGACACTCTCTGTCAGGTTACCCAGGTTTTATTGCCTCTGTATCAATTGTCATCAACAGAAATGCCCTTCTCCATTGATTATTTTGAGTCTTTCCCGTTTTCCCTCCATTGAAGTGCACACAGCGTTCCTCTTTTTCCCAGGATGACTGCAGTACGTCACTTTGAGAATGTGTTTAGATGCTAGGACTGTGGGTTGGGCTGAGTAATCCTCAGGGAAGACCAAGGGACTTGAACAAGTGATGATGATGGTTTGCATATTTGTTCTGGAAATTTGAACTTTTTAAAAAAAATTCTTTTCCATCACGGTTTATCATAGGGTATTGAGTACAGTTCCCTGTGCTCTGCAGCAGGACCTTGTTGTTCATCCATTCTATATGTAAAAGCTTACATCTGCTCACCCCACCTCCCACTCCATCCCTCCCCTAGCCCCTCCACCTTGGCAACTGCAAGTCTGTTCTCTATGTCCATGAGTCTGTTTCTGTTTTTGTAGATAGGTTCATTTGTGTCATGTTTTAGATTCCACGTATAAGTGATATCATATGGTATTTATCTTTGTCTTTCTGATTTACTTCACTTTGTATGATAATGTCTGGTTGCAACCACGTTGCTGCAGATGGCATTATTGTGTTCTTTTTTATGGCTGTGTAATATTCCTGTGTGTGTGTGTGTGTGTGTGTGTGTGTATCCCATCTTCTTTATCCATTCATCTGTCGGTGGACATTTAGGTTGTTTCCATGTCTTGGCTATAGTGAATGGTGCTGCTATGAACATAGAGGTGCATGTATCTTTTTGAATTATAGTTTTGTCTGGATATATGCCCAGGGGTGGGATTGCTGGATCATATGGTAATTCTATTTGGAAATTTCAACTTTAATTGATCCTTATCCTCTGTGGCTGCTTATTACTCAAAATAAGAACAAAATGATTTAGAGAACCCTAGTAAGCACTTTAGACTGGTACCCGCAGACAGTGTGCTGAGGTGTCCTCACGTGTAGTCCACTGTGTCATTGATCCACTATAGTTCTCAGGTCTTCCAGGCTCTAAACATCCAGGGACCAATTGCCACCTTGACAAGAGTTTTTTGCCTTCCAGCAGTTCATCTATTCAGAGTCGGGGATACTGATTTCAGTGTGTTAAAGGCAGGCAGAAAGTCAGGAACGTAAGGGGGCGTGAAGGAGGCCCCTCGTAAAGAGCTACGGGTATCTTGCAGTTAGCTGTGCGTGGGGAGATCAGGACACAGTGAGACCTGGGGACCCTCTCTCTTGGAGACTTCCTCACTGAACTCAGTAGCCTTTGTAACTGGACTCTATATCGTCCCCAGTTGCTGGCAAGTTTTCCCAGGAGGGCCAACTTCTTGATATTCATACAGAATACCTAGCATCCTTTGGGTGGCAGCATTCCTACTGTGATGTCTGTGCCCAGAAGCCTCTGTGCCTTTTAGCCCTATTTGCTCAGCCGTGCCCTTAGGAGAGGTAGTAAAATGGGGAAAGTGGAGGGGTCTGCAGGAGGGATATGGCAGCAGTTGTGGTCAAACAGAAGAGCCCAGTGCATGCTGCATGCTCCTGTTCTTTGTGGGATCAGTGGGTGTGTGGAATGTTGGGAAGGCATGTCTCAATTCTGGCTGGAGCATCTGCAAGTGGGTTTATGGGTGGTTGTGGGCTGCATGGAATGGTTTGGGGTGCCCTGGTGTCAACTCAGGTTGCCTGGGACACACGTGCTGAAACGGCTTTGCATGTACTAGTTTTAATTGGGTAAGTCATGATCACAGCTGAGGAGGAATGTAAGGCATGGAATTAGGCAGAGGGGAATAAATATCATGCTGTGATGGTAGAACCAAGGCCTGAGCTGAGCCCACAGGGAGCTGTGGGTGCAGGAGGATGGGTGCCTTAGTCCCGAGGTGCTGGATCTAGAGGGTGCCCCCCAGCATCCACTCCACACACTGACTTTTGTTGGTTTTTTTGGGGGGCAAGCATCATCATCATGCAACCCATGGAGTAATATAGGGAAAGTCTCAGAAATCATTTTCTGGGTTACTTTTGGTATTTTTGAGTATTTTGGGTTGCAAGTGAAGAAAGTTTTAGATGTACTTTGAAAGATACAAAAGAGAAGTTGGAGTGTTTCCTTGGAAGATGTATGTTCTCATTGGGGCATGTGCATCGTTGGAGACATCTTGCTTTTATTATTAGATTTGGAGATGACATTGTTTGGGCTAGGGGCACTGTGAAATAAAATATTAGTGTCCTGGGACTTCCCTGGTTCCAAGGCACAGTGGTTCAGAATCCGCCTGCCAATGCAGGGGACACGGGTCGAGCCCTGGTCCGGGAAGATCCGACGTGCTGCGGAGCAACTAAGCCCGTGCGCCACAACTACTGAGCCTGAGTGCCACAACTACTGAAGCCCGCGCACCTAGAGCCCGTGCTCCACAACAAGAGAAGCCACCGCAATGAGAAGCCTGTGCATCGCAGTAAAGAGTAGCCCCCGGGGCTTCCCTGGTGGAGCAGTAGTTGAGAGTCCGCCTGCCGATGCAGGGGGACACGGGTTCATGCCCCGGTCCGGGAAGATCCTACATGCCGCGGAGCGGCTAGGGCCGTGAGCCATGGCCGCTGAGCCTGTGCGTCTGAATCCTGTGCTCCGCAACAGGAGAGGCCACAACAGTGAGAGGCCCGCGTACCACAAAAAACAAACAAAAAACCCCGCTCTCCGCAACTAGAGAAAGCCTGCGGGCAGCAACGAAGACCCAACACAGCCAAAAATAAATTAATTAATTTAAAAAAGTAATGCTTTATATTAAAATATAGTGTCTTGGGTCTAGAGGGTCCTTAGGTGTCTTCATATGTATTATTCCAGCATGAATGCACCAGTTATTAGAGGTTGGAATGTTTTCTGGTATTTTATAGCAGGATAGGAGGGGGATATTATCGGGTATATGGAAAGTGTGTTGGACCTCATGAGAATTTGTAAGTTTGAGTCCAGAAGGGAAATTATGAGTACTAAACTTCAAATGGCAGAAGGTTTTCGTTAGGGAGGTCTTGTTATGTATGGGTCTATGGGCACAACTTTAACAGGAGACAAAGTCCTGTGATGTAGGGAAAGATTTTTCCAAGAATCAGAGGGCAGGAACATCACAGTGATATGCGGTCCAGAGGCTCATCCTTGGGAAGCTGTATGAGACTTTATTGTTGCCAGGCCAGTGCTGGTTACTCTATTATCCTCTCCCTTTCTGTCCCAAAACACGCAGACACGCACGCACAATACAGAGAACAGGGAACCCTTGTGCACTGATGGTGGGAATGTAAATGGTACGACTATCATGGAAAACAATGTTCCTCAATAAATTAAAAAAAGAACAGGCACACAGTCTATCAAAGACTATTCTGGCTAGATAGCTAATGAAGCAAAACTGCTATTTTGAGGGAAGTATCTGCACTGCTGTGAGCATTACTGCATCATTCGCCACAGCCAAGATGTGGAAAGAACCAAAATGTCTGTCGACAAAAGAATGGATACGGAAAGTGTGTGTGTGTGTGTGTGTACACACAAATGTTATTCAGCCAGAAAAATGAAGGATTTTGCCACTTACTACAAAATAAATGAACCTAGAGAACATGCTACGTGAAATAAGCGTCACAGAGAAAGATATTCTTTGTGGAAACTAGAAATGTCAAGCTCATAGAAACAGAATAGCAAGGTTGTTTTGTTACCAGGAGCTGGGTGGTGGGGAAAATGGGGAGATGTTGGTCGTAGGGTACAGACTTGTAGGTATAAAATGAATAAGTTCTGGGGGTCTAATATATATCATGCTGACTATAGTTGTCCATACTGTGTTTCTATATACTTGAAATTTGCTGAGGGAGTATCACTTAAGTGTTCTCACCACGCAGACACAAGACGGTAATTGTGGGTTGATGGAAGTGTAATTACTTGATTGTGATAATTATTTCACAGTGTATACATCTGTCAAATAATCACATTGTACACCTTATATGTGCACCATTTTTATTCGTCAGTTACACCTCGATTAAGCTGGAAAAGGAAAAGAAGGTGTGTTGGGCTTTCCTCTGAGTGGTGCTCAACCCAGGCTTCCCATTAGATCAGTGAGGCATTTTGCATATACATGTTTTGTGCCCCCTGACCAAAGATTCCTCTTTAAATAGCTGCGGTGAGGCCCAGCCTCAATAATATTTAACGTGCCCCAGATGACTCTAATCTGGATCTGTCACTGAGCATCGTGACTCTGAGTCCCCCCGTTCCTGAGGGCTGAGATCTGGGCTGAGGGTGAGGGCTCTGCTCTGCGTGGGGATGGATCAGGGCTGGTCTGTGACCTGCAGGGGATCGTCGGGTCCAGCTGAGGTGCCCGCTGCTGCTGGGTACGTGAGGGCCTCACCAGGAGGGGAGTGAGATCTGAAGGAAAGGGTGGGAAAACTCACCTGTTAGACTCTATGTGGGAGTCACTGTCCTGAGCCCCTCCTGGGACAGTGGGCAGCAGAGGACCATCTGTTCCACATGCTGAGGGCTTCCCTGTGTGTGTGGTGGTGACTCAGGAAGGGGGTGTGTTGATTCTAAGCATTAAACAGCCTGTTTCCAACTTTCAGAATCGACCTCTAAAGCCTCCTATTGCTTGAGGAAGAAGCCCGGAAGAGGAGGGAGAGGAAAGAAAAGGAGTCAGAAATGGCTCTTTCTCAGGTAAAGTCATATTCTCAGTTGTTTCTTCTGTCTGTCCTTCCTGAAATGCCCTTCTTTGGACTCGCTAATCGCTGACTCTGAAGTATCCTGCCTGACACCTGTACATTCATACTCACCCGGGTCTTTCCCTCAGGGCCTGTCATCTCCACTTAGATCCTATCTCCCCATGACCCAGTGACCTGGAACTTGTGAGGAGTCCCCACTGGGCAGGGCTTCACATCCATGGATTGGAGACGTGGTGTCAGTGCTACTGGGCAGCAAGAATTTCTTAGGGCGCCATCAGGATGCACTGTCTGCTCTCTGTAAACCAGGATAAAGAAGCTGCAAATGGAAGTGATGGTATTAATATGCACAATACCTGGTAAGTGTTAGAAAAGAGACCAGTAAGTAGAAATTTGCTCTGACTTTTTCTAATGCAGTTGAATTTAAATGGGTGAGTCACTGACTTCAAAATCTTCATGATTGAGAATGGAATGGAAAGTTCAGGAACATCAGTGATAGAGGGTGTTTTATTCCATCACTGATTTTAGAAATTCTTTAAATCACTTGCATCACCTCCGTTCTTTAGAGGTTTTCTTTTCACTGTGTTGATTGCCTCCTCTGACACAAAGAAGTTACTGCGTTTGATGCAGGTATGGTTCCAGTTTCATTCTTTTGCTGGTAGATACCTGGTTTCCCAGCACCATTTGTCAGACTGTCCTTTCCCCTTATTGTAGTCTTGGTACCCTTGTCAATACATTTTAAGGGACTTCTCTGGTGGCACAGTGGTTAAGAATCCGCCTGCCAATACAGGGGACACAGGTTCGAGCCCTGGTCCAGGAAGATCCCACATGCTGCAGAGCAACTAAGCCTGTGCGCCACAGTTAATGAGCCTGCACTCTAGAGCCTGCGAGCCACAATTGCTGAGCCTGTGTGCCACAATTACTGAGCCCGTGTGCCTAGAGCCCGTGCTCCGCAACAAGAGAAGCCACCACGATGAGAAGCCCATGCACCGCAACGAAGAGTAGCCCCTGCTTCCCACACCTAGAGAAAGCCCGCGTGCAACAAGAAAGACCCAACACAGCCAAAAATAAATAAATTATATATATATATTTAAATACACTTTACATATATTCCAAGAATTATTTCTGAGTTAATCTGTTCCATTGGTTTAAGTATCTGTGTTTATGCCAATACCACACCATCTTTTTTTTTTTTTTTTGGGCAAGCCTCGCTGCTTGTAGGATCTTAGTTCCCCGACCAGGGATGGAACCCAGGCCCTCCCCAGTAAGAGTGAGTCCTAACCACTGAACCGCCAGGGGAGTCCCAATACCACACCATTCTTGATTACTTTGTTTGTACTATGTTTTGAAATCTAAAGAAGGGTGGCCTCCATCTTCTTTTTCAAGAATATTTTGGCTATTTGGGGTCCCTTGAGATTCCCTATCAGTTTTACCATGTTTTCTTCTATCTCTGCAAAAATTGCCATTGGAATTTTGATAGGGATTCCATTGAATCTATAAAACATTTAGGATTTTCTGGGTATTTTAAGTCTTCCAGTCCATGAGTATAGGATGTCTTTCTATTTATTTGTATCATCTTAGATCTCTTGTAGCAACATTTAGTAGTTTGCAGTGTGCAAGTCTTCTACCTCCTTGGCTAATCTGTTCCTAAGTATTTAATTCTTTTTGATGCTATAGAAATAGGATTGTTTTCTAATTTTCATTTGACTTTGTGCATTGTGTATAGAAGTACAACTGATTTTTGCATGTTGTCATATCCTGCAACTTTTCTAAAATTGATTTTTGATGTAGCAGTTTTCTTGTGGAATCTTTACAGTTTTACAGTTTTATAAACCTCATCTACTAAAAAATAATTTTACTTTTTTGATTTTTTTTTCTTTTTTTTTGGTCTAATTACTCTGGCTAAGGCTTTCAGTACTTTTTTGGACAGAGAGTGTGCATCCTTGACTCCTTCCTGATCTGAGAGGGAAAGCTTTCACTCTTTCACCATTGAGTATGTGTTGATCACTGTGTTCTTTTCATATATGGCATTTCTTATGTTGAGATAGTTTACTGTTCCTAGTTTGTTGAGGTTTTTATCCTGAAAGGTTGTTGAATTTTGTCAAATGCTTTTTTCTGCAGTTGAGATGATCATGGGTTGATTTATTCTGTTAATGTGGTGCATTGCATTAATTGATTTCTGTATGTTGAATCATCCTTGCCTTATAAATTCCACTTGGTCATGATGTAAAATTGTTTTAATTTGCTGTGAATTTGGTTTGCTAGTATTTTGTTAATGATATTCTTATCAGTATTCATCGGGGATATTAGTTTGTAGTTTTCCTTCCTTCTTGTGTTTTTCTCTGAGTTTAGTATCAGAATTATGCCAGCTCCATAGAACAGGTTTGCCAGTGTTCTTTCTTCAACGCTTCAGAAGATCTTTATTAGGATATGAGGTAATTTTTCCGTAAATATTTGGTAAAATTCTGCAGTTAAGCCATCTGGTCCTAGGTTTTTCTTTGAAGTTTTTGATTACTGCTTGAATCTCTTCAGTTATATTTCTGTTCAGACTTTTTCTCAGTGATTAGGGCTTAGTAGGTTATATGTTTCTGAGAATTTTCCTCTGTCTTCTATATTATGTAATTTTTTGGCCTATTATTGTATATCGTACTCGCTTGTAATCCTGTAAAAAATTTCTGTGACATCAGTTGCAATCTCTCCCCTTTTATATCTGTTTTTAGTTATTTGAATCTTGTTTTTTTCATAGTATAGATAAGTAAATGTCAAAACACCAACTCTTGGTTTGTTAGTTTATATATTTTCTATTTCATTTATCTGTGGTCTCATCTTTCTGATTTACCTCTTCTAAATTTGGGTTTAGTTTTTTTCTTCTTTTTCTGTTTCCTTTAGGTGTAAAAATAGATTTCTGATTTGAGATCTTTTCTTTATTATAAGCATTTTTCAGTGTAGCTTTCACTGTATCTTATAAATTTTGGTATGTTTTATTTTTATTTTCTTCCAGATATTTTAAAATTCCTTTGTGATTTCTTCTTTGGCCCATTGGTCTTTGGCTTTTTCCCCCACATTTTTGGTGTTTTTTTCCCCCATCTGCTTATTTGTATTTTCATTTAATTGTGGTTAGATAAGATACTTTTATGACCCCAGTCTTCTTAAATTTAAGATTTAGTTTGTGCCCCAACATGTGGTCTGTTATGGAGAATGTTCCATGGATAGTTGGGAAGAATGTCTTTTCTGCTGTTGTTGGGTGGTTGTGATGTGTACGTGTCTGTTACGTCCAGTCAGTCTGTAGTGTTATTGACGTTCTCTGTTTTCTTATTGATCTTCTGTATGGTTCCATCCATAAATAAAACTGGGGTCTTATAATGTCATACTATTACTGTGCTGCTGTCCATTTCTCTCTTCATTTCTGTTAATTTTTACGTCACGTTTTTGGGAGCTCTAATGTTAGATGTGTGTGCGTGTGTGTATGTGTATTTATAATTGTTGAATCTTATTGAATCGACCATTTTTAATTATATACTATCCTTTGTCCCTTGTGTCAGTTTTTGTTTTTAGTTTGTCTCATAATATGTAGCCACCTCTACTCTCTGTAGGATAGAATATCTTCTTCCATCCTTTTAACCTATACGTGTCCTTAGATTTGTGAATTGTAACAGTTCCAATTCTTTGACGCTCTTTAGCTTCAATTCCAGATCCCAGCCACCTGAGTTCAGCTGTTTGCTGTGTCATTTCTTATCTGTTGACCTGAGTCGAGTTTCTCAGAGTGTCTCTGACCGTTTCCTCCTCTGTATCATGGGAACACATCTTTCTCTAATGAGCTATTCTGTTGATAACAAGTTAATACATGTAACATTTAGAGTACTGCTTATCATATAGGAAGTACTCAGACCCTTTTAGTCATTGCGGTTGTTATTGATCATAATTTAAGATTCTGATCTTTCTTTAAATCCACTCTGGACTTTGTCATCTCTGAAAACACCACTCATAATGTAGCTCATCTAGATATTGAATATCTCAGTGTGTAGAACATAATATCTGTATAGACAATCTGGTGTTCAGTTTTATTTGTGTGCATTCCATGTATTGTCGACAAACATGAAAAAATCCACATTGTTTGGAAGATATCATACTCTCTTACATAAAACATAAGATGTTAAAATTAGAGACACATAATTTGCTCCAAATACCTTTACATAGCTTTGCCATTTACATATTTCAACCAGATTGATTGTTACACCTGTCTCCCCTTCTCACATTGTGTAAAATTAAGGACTCTCCTCATGGCCCCTTGGTGAAATGTGTTTTCATTTCAGGCACCGTTGACCTTCAAGGATGTGGCCGTAGAATTCACTCAGGAGTGGGAACGCCTGGACCCTGCTCAGAGGGCCTTGTACAGGGACGTGATGGAGGAGACCTCCGGGAGCCTGCTCTCTGTGGGTGAGGATAACTTCCCTCCCTCTAGAAGATGGGATCCGCTCTTGGATATCTTTGCATTTTTCCTGTGTGCCTCTTGGGAGCCCCTGTTTTGCTTGACTGATCTGAAATCCCTGTTGACTTGGACATGAAATGCTTCAGGATGTGCAGTGTCAGTAGTTTAAACTATCCTTTTCTTCAGGTGATCTGCCCATTTCATGATACGTCGGGGGTTGTTCCAGAGCTTGAGTATTTATAAAGCGCAATGGGAAACTTTTAAAATACCCAATTTCCTGTGTTTTCTACCCCTGTGCTTTAGATTCAGTAGTTCTAGGAAGAGAGCTAGGTGTCTACGTATTACACTGTTGCCTCTGTGTTCAAAAGGAGGCGGTGGATGAATTTGTGAAATGTTTTTGCAGACCCACCTGTAATGTCTTTACTACCCAGCTGAACAAAGAGCTGGGATTCTGGAAGAGCCACAGCACTTCACATTTCTTACTTCTAATAAGCAGGAATTTCTCTTTCTGATCTGAATATTATCTCCATCTTGAAGCAAGAGAATGAGCCCTGGATTGTCAAGAGTGACATGAAAGTATGAGAAAACCTAATGAGTGGGAAAGTAGCAAAAGTGTGAACACAGGTCAGATGTCAGAAGGGCATTGGGAAACTCTCCCATTGTTGGGAGAGTTCTCTGGGAAAACAAAAGTTTATTTCTTGCAAACTCTCGGAGGAAATTTTTCTCTGCAGCTTATCACTCTGTGCTTCAACGTGTGAAATTTACCCCCTCGCCTTCTAGTGGTGCTGTAGCTGCAACAAAGATAAAGGCAGTCTTTATATCTTGATCCACAGCACTTTGTTATATGCCTTCTGTGAACTCGGTCTTTCTTGACTTTAAGAAGCATGAGGTGGGCTGTTTTAAAGGGGTCTCTTGCCCCTTCATCTCTCCTTCGGGTCTTGATTCCACTGGATGCTCAGTTCCTAGTCCATAGAGACAAGAGTTGATGCCTCCGGAGTCCAAGCCTTGAACCTATGTCAGTTTAATCCCAATTTGATGTTCTGAGAAGATGTAATCAACAGATAGTAACAGATAGTAAACACTGGCTGTTCTTTAATTCCGTCTGGACCTCATAACCTACATGGAGCTGTCTGAAGCCCTGTCTGCTTAGTTAGATTTCCCAGCCATTTCCTCCATCCTGCTTTTGCCGCATACTTCAGTGATGCGAGTGGCGGCCAGGTTGACTGAACCTTACGTAATTGTTACTTAGGAAAACTGTAAGGACCATGGACAGACGTCCTCTCTTTGATCCCCAGTCCTACAAGAGGAGCATATGTGAACCTTTTCAGGCTCTTAGCTTGGCGTCTGTGGGTAGAGAACATGCTCCCATCTCAAGATCCTATCACATCTGACCCCCGTATCTTACAGTTTTTTCTCTCTTGGAGTGCTCTTCCTAGTTGGGTAATGTAGACACTTCCTGATTTCATATGTTCTTTAAGTTTGCTTGATTTGACTCTAAAACTTGCTTCTGAAATAGATATTCCTAGGGTCTGAAAGTTTGTCCAGTTTTTTTACTGTGATAATCCACTTTTAGTTAGTGGACAACTTCTGGTGGACTCTATGGAGTGGGTTTACTTGGCAACAGAAAGTTTTTATGGAGAGTACTTTCCCTCATATGTTGCAATATACTCCAGCTGCATACCAAATCACCACTTGAAGTTACTTACTGGAGTGGACAGCATGTTCTACAGTGTGAGATAGAAAGTATCATGAGAGCCTGACTGATAAGTCTTTCCAGGTTTTTATTCTGGTTGAGGAGTGTCACAGAAGCATGTCTCAAGGGCACTGTGACAATGTTGCTTACATATACTAATGACCATCCTTTATGAACTTCAGTAAATGGTATAGGAATTTCTCCTACGAATAACATTGCCCAGGTTCTCGTCCTCATAGCTGTGAGGCTGTTGACTAAACTGTTGTTCACGCTACATATTTTGTCACCTGTGTGTGCCTTTATTCATTCTACCTCAACACCTAATTTTGAAGCATGTTAATAAAAGCTTATGAATTGGTGTGACACCTTCAATGATAAGCTATAGTTCGTTTTGTTTAAGGCACTGCTACTTTCATTTTGTACATTTCTGTGCATTATGTATGGTCTTGATTTTTGTTTGTTTAGTCATCAGGTCTGTATTTTTTATGATATTAGTGTTGAAGATTGAATTGGGGAAAGGTCCCCTGCCGTGGTGGAACTGGTGATCAGACCCTTTTAGAGGTCTTTATGTATTCTCAATTTTTACCTATACTCAGTTATATCATTTGCAAATATTTTCTCCCATTTCATAGTGTCTTTTCACTTGACTGAGTGTGCTTTGATGAACAAGTTTAGGATTTTGATGTAGTCCAGTTTATCTGTTTTTACTTTGTGGCCTGTGCTCTTGGTGTTATGTCCTATTAATCATTGCTGAATCCAGTGTCAACAAGTTTTTCCCTGTATTTACTTATAGGACCTCTATACGTTCAGGTCTTATGTTAGGTCTTTGATCAATTTTCCATTAAGTTTTGTATATTGTGTAAGATAATGGTCCTGCTACATTCTTTGCATATGGATATTTAGTTTCCTCAACATCTTTTATTTTTAATTCACTCTACAAATTATTTGTTCATTTGCTTATTTTATTGAATTATACTTAATTTACAATATTGTGTTAGTTTCAGGCATACAGCAAAGTGACTCAGTTTTATATCTATATATATACAGATACATACATATACACACACACTTTTTCAGGTTATTTTCCATTATAGGTTTTTATGAGATATTGAATATACTTCCCTGTGCTATATGGTAAATCTTTGTTTTTTATCTATTTTATATATAGTAGTATATATATGTTTTTTATCTATTCTATATATAGTAGTATATATATGTTGAACCATCCTTGTGTATCTGTTAATCTCATACTCCTAATTTATCCTTCCCCCTCTTTCCTGTTTGGTATCCGTAAGTTTGTTTTCTATATCTGTGAGTCTGTTTCTGTTTTGTAAATAAGTTCATTTGTATCATTTTTTAGATCCACATATAAGTAATATCATATAATGTTTGTCTTTCTTTGACTTACTTCATTTAGTATGATAATCCCTAGGTCCATCCATGTTTCTGCAAATGGCAATATTTCATTCTTTTTATGGCTGAGTAATATTCCACCCTATCCATTCATCTGTCAGTGGACATGTACATTGCTTCCATGTCTTGGCTGTTGTAAATATCGCTATGAACATTGGCATGCATGTCTCCTTTTTTTTTTTTTTTTTTTGGTTCGCGGGGCTCTCTTTCTGCCTTTTTTTCCCCCCCCCCCCCCCCGCTCCCCGACCCAAAGGCTCGCAAGCCGTGGCTCACGGGCCCAGCCGCTCCGCGCCACGTGGGATCCTCCCGGACCGGGGCACGAACCCGCGTCGCCTGCATCGGCAAGCGGACTCCCAACCACTGCGCCACCAGGGAAGCCCATGTCTCCTTTTTGAATTAGAGTTTTCATCTTTTCCAGATATATTCCCAGGGGTGGGATTTCAGAATCATGTGGTAACTCTATTTTTAGTTTTTTAAGGAACCTCCATACTGTTTTCCATAGTGGCTGCATTAACTTACATTCCCACCAACAGTGTAGGAGGGTTCCCTTTTCTCCATACCCTCTCCAGCATTTGTTACTTGTAGACTTTTTAATGATGGTCATTATGACCAGTGTGAGGTGGTACCTCATTGTAGGTTTGATTTGCATTTCTCTAGTAATTAGTGATTCTGAGCATCTTTTCATGTGCCTATTGGCCATTTGTATGTCTTTAGAGAAATGTCTATTTAGGTCTTCTACCCAACTTTATTTTTTATTTTTTTCTGTGGTACGCGGGCCACTGTTGTGGCCTGTCCCGTTGGGGAGCACAGGCTCCGGATGCGCAGGCTCAGCGGCCATGGCTCACGGGCCCAGCCGCTCCGCGCCACGTGGGATCCTCCTGGACCGGGGCACGAACCCGCGTCCCCTGCATCGGCAGGCGGACTCTCAACCACTGCACCACCAGGGAAACCCCTCTTGTTTTGTTTTTTTTTAATTACAGATTCTATTTCATTTCTAGTGATCAGTCTGTTCAAATTATGTTTCTTCTTTATTCAATTTTGGGAGGCTGTATGTTTCTAGAAATTTGTATATTTTTCCTAGGTTGTTGATTTTGTTGGCATATAACTTCATAGAATTGTCATGAATTTTTGTATTTCTGTGGTATCAGGTGTTATTTCTCTTTCATTTCTTCTTTTGTTTGTTTGGGTCCTCTCTTGTTATTGATGAGGCTGGTCAGAAGTTTGTCAATTTTTATCTATTCAAAAAACCAGCAATTGTTTTTATTTTTCTCAATTTTTTTATCACTATGTTTTATTTCCTCTCTGATCTTTATTATTGTCTTCCTTCTGCTGACTAGGTTTTGTTCTTCTTTTTCTAATTCTTCTAGGTGATAGTTTAGGTTGTTTGAGATTTTTCTTCTTTTTTGAATTAGGCCTCTATCACTATGAAATTCCCTCTTAGGATTGTTTTTGCTGCATTCCGTAGATTTTTTTTTTTTTATGGTTGTGTTTTCATTGTCATTTGTCTCAACATATTTTCTGATTTCCTCTTTGCTTTAATCATTGATGCATTGGTTTTTTAGTAGCATGTTGTTTAGTCTGCATGTAATCGTTTTCTTATTTCTCTTTCTGTGATTAATTTCTAGTTTCATGATGTTGTGGTCAGAAAAGATGCTTGAAATAATTTCTATCCGTTTAAGTTGGTTGAGATTTATTTTTTGTCCTTGTATGTGGTGTATTGTAGAGAATATTCCATCTGCGCTTGATAAAGAATGTGTATTCTGGGTTTTTTGGATGTAATATCCTGTAGATATCAGTTAAGCCTCACTGTTCTCTTGTGTCATTTAGGGTCTCTGTTGCCTTATTGTTTTTCTGTCTGGAAGACCTGTCCATTAATATTAGTGGGGTATTAAAGCATCTTAT